CCCCAAAACCCCAAAACCCCAAAACCCCAAAACCCCAAAACCCCAATGGCAAAAGATCAAATTGAATTAAAAATATTATAATTAATGCGCATGATTATGGCTTGGGTGAAATTAATGCCTCCATTTTTTAGAGTGGCCATCCATCATTTGTGGTTCAATAAAACCTCTGAATTCCTGGTCTCTTGTCCATCTTCAGCCATATCCTTCTGAGACTCTTCACTCAATGATGATGAGGTCTTGTGGGAGTCCATGAATATTTATCCAGACACTGTTCTGAACTATTTGTTTTAACTTGTTAAAGGCATGCTCATTTCTATTTTTCCTCAGAAAGACCTAGGATGGTGCCCCAGAACCCTTCAGTTGATCTATGAACGTGCTTGGAGAGAGCTCTTGCTCCAACAGTTAGCTTAGGAGGGTTGGGATTTTCCTCCAGCTGCTCTGGAGTCAGCAGTGTGAATCTCCTGTTGAAATGATCGAACACTCAACTAATTGGCGGAGGACATACATCTTTAGATCCTGGTGTTTTTCTAATACCTATTCATGTGAGGAATCCCCTAGGAGTCAGAGCAACCAGGAAAGCTTTGATTTCTTCAAATAAATTTTGACTATCTTCTCCCTCACTTGCTTCAAAGATATCATCGACTGATGAAGTAAGTTTAGAAAGGGTCTCGATCTCCAGATTAGTCTCATCGAGTTCGAGGCCCGGTCACTTTTTATATTTGATTGGGAATGAGAAATTTTGGTTCCAGAGAACGAGCACCACTCAGAATAATTTTACGAGGTTTCCTCTAGGATAGCCATGAAAATAATATCATTCTGAGTCACAAGCAATGTTGACGCATAACTCTTCACTACAGGTTGCTTTAATGCTTTCAATGAAGTCGTAGGAGTAGGTTTCTTGAAGTTCTAGAATTTAGTTAGCAATCAATATTTCTGAAAATTTCCCAAGCCAGAAAACTCTCAGAATTTGGGAAGTAGATTCCTTACCTGTATATTCTTTGTAAGCGAAAATCACATCTCGAACTCCAAGGTAGAGGTGGTCGGGAACTTCTATTTCTGATGTTGAAAAGTATTGTATCATTCCTGGTTCTGAAGTATGATGCATCATTTTTAAGAAATATATGATAAAATTCTATCCTAATAAAATAAACTGGGGTTTTGGGGTTTTGGGGTTTTGGGGTTTTGGGGTTTTGGGG